CCGCCGCCGCCGCCGCCGCCGCGCGCGATCTCGCGAGACTTCGCTCCCCTCCCCGCTTCCCCGCCCTCCCCCCGGCGCGCGCGGACCCCGGCCTGGATCCGGCTTAGCGCCCTTCCTAAAAGCCTCCCCTTCGCCTCAGGGTTAGGCCTAGCCGGACTCCCAACCCCGCGTGCGGGTCCCTGCATCCGTTCCGCCTACCGCCGTTACCGTAAAGGGTTAAAAGCCAGGTGCGAGACGGCCGCCTCCTTCTCACCTGGGCGGCCAGGTGCGCGTGCGCATGCGGGCGCCCGGGGCCCTGGACCTGCGAGCCTTTTGCAAAGGTTCTGACCTCCGTAACAACAGTAATCTTGGCAGCCAGTGTTGCAGTACTTCTACGGTTCCTCTTAGGTCCTCGCAGGAGCCCCCCAAAAGTAGGTATTACCACCCTCTCCATTCCAGAGAGGCTAAAACGGAGGCTTGGCCAGCTTGAGAATACCCCCAGGTCACACAGCTAAGAATTGGCATCCGGGGCTGTCTGACGCCCGAGCCAAAGCCCGGGTTTTCTGCCTCCATGACAACTCCCAGGCCCTATCCCTGTTACTTCTTCCGCTGAGGGCGCCAAATCTCAGCCCTTCTTTACTTGCCTCCCAAGTTTCACCAAGGTGAGAGGAGGCGCTCCCGGGAGGGCAGCTGCTACAATCCCTCCCGTTTATGAAACTGCTGTTAGGAAAATGCTTCTCCCTCATTACACGGACTTCTTAAGGCCTTCCTGTGCCAGACCCTGAACAGGACCGTGAAAACTAACTATTTTTATTAGGTTGTATCTTCTTGAAACTGGTGGCATTTTGATGGTAGAGAGCACAGAAGCATGGGTCACAGGACATGGAACTAGAATGTACGTGGTGTTAGGGGGCACAGAGGAAGGCGTGACTTCTTCCTAAGGGTAAAATCTTAACATTATATAATTGTGTCTTAAAGAGAGGGACAAGCATTTATTGAGGGCAATTCAAGGTCACTACCAGTATTCTTCCAAGTCAAATCATAGGAAAATGGAGACTCAGGGAGATGAAGAAATTGGCCTAAGGCTCCAGGGTAACACAGGGTTTGAACCTGGGTCTGAGTCCAGAACCCAGTAGTGCCTTGTGCTGAAGTCCCATGAGCTAGCATGTCTGGGCCAACAAGCTGCTGTAAAATCAAAAGCCTTGGAGGTTCTAGCTATTCCAAGGTAACTTGCATCAGTGTCTGGATGGGCTTATCCAGCCCACCTGGCAGTCACAGTGATCTCAGCAAACGTTGGCCTGCCCACCCTGCAAGCCTGTCTACTCCCTCCGAAATAATGCCACCTCCTGCAGGCCAGAGGTTATGGGTGCCCTCCATGTGTGAACATCACCCAACCCACCTTGATGAAGGAAGTGAGACAGGAAGAGAAATCACATCTGATGGGCAGCTGTAAGGCACCCAGCACTGCTCCCAGTGCTGTCCCTTCATTAACTCATTTAGTCCTCCCAGCAATCCCATGTGAAAAGTATGGTTGTCCCCGTTTTACGGATGAGGAAACCAAGGGCCTTCTTAGGGAAAGAAGTTGCCCAGCCCAAGAGTACACACAAGTGGTAGTGGGAATGTTGGAGTTCCACCAGATCAGGCTGTCCCCAGACCTACAAACTTTGGCCTCAGTGACCAACAATGTTCTCCCTGCCCTCAAAGCCTATGTCTTCTTGAAGCTGAAAACCTAGAAATCCCCTGAGGTCAGGACTTCAATCTAAGACTGGTTGTTGGGAGCATTAATCAAGTCAATGTATGTGAAGCATGTGGAAAAGTGTCTTGCACAAATTAAACTCTCAGTAAATTCCAGCTATTATTACATGGATGGGATGTCTGAGTTATTTTATTCTCTCCCTGTCTCCCAATATAAATTACAAATCACTTTGGAGGATGTGACCTTATCTACTCAGACGTGGAAATAAAATTCGTTTCTAGTACAATGGAAACAATTCACTGCTCTTCAGTGGGTGAAATTACCCCCACATGTTCTCCTGATCGTGGAAAGAGACCCTCCTGAGCTCTGAGGTGCTCTCTCTTACCAGTTTCCTGGGATACTGGCAGCCTGTATTATAAAAGGCTCCCCTTATATAGGAAAAGCCACCCAAATATTTTTAAGTTGTTGGCAAAAACAAAAAGAAAAAAAATGCTTAATTAAGCTGAAACGTGTTAAGATCATTTGGGTGAGGTTGGGGGTTAACAGAACCACTGAGACATTATGAAGAAAGATTTTATAAGAACTGAAGCTGCCACCACCCTCAGGCCATGGTACCCCCCAAGTTAGGTTTCTATCCTGATGCAAGACATACCACACATTCCCATCTATGGCAATGGCTCCCTGTGGAAGTGATCATCACAGGGCAGGAGTGGATGTAACTGGATCCATTGAGGGCATTATAGATGGACACAAAAAAATCAGGATGATTCTAATACAAACACTTCTAAGGGTTTAACCTGTGGTTTCCAAAAAGCACTGTTAAAATGTCTTTGATCCAAATGGAACTTTATAAATGCCTGTAATGAGATTTGTTTAATGCTCATTCATTCAATAAAAACTTAAGCCCTTAAGTGCCAATTACTGTGTTAGTAGCTGTGAGCAAGACCATGCTCTCATCACATTGATGGCCTGGAGAGAGAGAGAAGTGTTAATTAAATAACTGAACCAAACAGTATTGAAATGTTATGTGATAAACAGGATAAAAAAGAAGAGCAAATGACCAAAATTAAAAAGGAAAAAAAAAAAACTGGTTGAAAGGGTAGGAAAGAACCTGCCTTGAACTTGAGTTCTGGAGGATGAGACAGTGTGAACTAGGCAAGGAGGAGAGGGGAGAGCATTGCGGAGGTAGGGATGCCACGGGTCAGCAAGGGGTAGGTGAGAGATGGTAGCTGGGAGGGCAGGGTGGACTGGGACCTTAAGAGGCATCTCAGGATGTACACACCCTGAGCACATGGGGACAGTAGAGAGGAGAGAACCCAACAGGAGGTAGATAAATGTTGCAGGCAATGCCACTGGTCTCCACGTAACCATCCTTCCCCTTTGGTCAATCCAAGCTCATTATGGACTATTACCACCTCTACTCAACCAGGGCTTTGTCAAGGATGGGCAGGCTATCATGACACAACTAGCCGATCTGTATTTGAGGAAATCTCACATTATATGTCTCACCACCCCAGAGGAGAAACCGAAATGCAAGTTGCCTGCTTCCCTTGCATCTATGTCAAGGGATCTGACGTAGGCTCTGCTGCTGGCCAGATGCACCACGTGAGACTGAATCCAGTCAGGAGCTTCCATTCTACTGAGGTGACCAGTGGCCAAAGTAACCAGCTTTGGGGATTGCGGTTGCAGGGTTGAGCTCCTGATGGAGAAGCCGCATGGGACGCTGACGGCAGCGTTGGTTGTGGTGATGGCAAGCTCAGGCAGGGTGGTGGTTAGCTCATTGGGGCCAGGCATGCGGTGTGGTTTGGGACCTTTTTCTTAGAAACTTAGCCTCAATTTCTTTTCTTCAGCCCTCTCAAGGATTCTGTGGGATATCTAACATCCTTGATTACATTCCCCTTTCTGCTTAAATCAGCTGGCATTTCCGCCAAGAATGCTGACCTCTCACAGGCTGAAGCCAGTTGGAGCCAATGAGACTTAGAGAAAGTCTTGCTGGGGGTCAGTGGCGAGAGGCACTTTCTCTGCGATAACAGAGAGCCTTGGGAAAGCCAGCTCACTCCCTGCCTGGCATGGGAATCTCAGTTGTCATCAATGGCTTCTTCTACAACTGTAGGATAAGATAGGGTCTGCATGGCAGAGGGGAGAAACCAAAAGATACTGGACTACATACATCACCTTGCCGCTGGGCTGACCCCAGACCTACAAGGCCCCAGGCAGCTCTTTCCCTGAGCTAACCCACATGATTGAATCAACTTGAGTCAATTTCTCTATTCTTGCAACCCAAATGTTCATACTGGTGCAGCAAGGAAAGAAGCAACTTATAGGCAACAGGCACACATCTTTCCTGGGTGTGTCAGGAGCCGCCCCAACCCTGGGCAATCTTTTACATCAACCTCCTTCACTCCCACCCAGTATCAGTCCCACTCAGGTAAGCCCCACCTGGCCCCAAACACTTCCTTCCAGAAAACACGTCCTTCCCTTGCCCTTCCCATTCTTTGATTATCTCTTTGATGGGCACACAGTGGTTCTGTTACTGACCAGCTCACACATCTGGAAAGTGGCAGAGCTGAAGGTCTGGAGGCAATCCAGATCCCAGGCTTTCAACCACTAAGTTTAATGCCATGCACCAGCCAGCCTCATTACATTAAAAAAAAAAAAAAGTATGGTCTTGAGCCAGGAAAAAAAATAGAAAAAGGGCTGAAGTCCAGCTCCGGTATTTGCTATCCGGCCTTGAGCAAGCTTCTAAAGTCTCGCTTTGAACTAAAATGAAGTTACTGATGCCAACTTTGTCGAATCTGGCAGTCATCTGTGTTCACCCATGACCTCTGGCTCCTCACTTCTGGGCATACGCTGGAACCCACTTCCTGCGCCACGTGGCTGGGGTCACATGATTAGTCCTAACCAAGGAGTGTGAATGGGGGAGTTTGTGTCACTTCTGGTGGCTGCTCTGTTGAGCAGAGCCCTCAGCCCATCCACTGTGGACATATAACGGGAGCATAAAGCAAGCCGTCATTGTTTGGGGTTGATGGCTGTGACAGGACTTACTAGCCTAGCCTGATGGATCCGTACAGTATGGTCACCTACTCATTCATTCACTCAAGAAACACTTTCCTGCTATAGTTCCAACCCCAGATGGACAAGAGAGAAAGCCCAGGTAGCAGTCCAGACGGGTCTGGTGCAATAAGCTGAGAGGGGCCCAGACGTCTGCAGTTTTCTGGGGCTCCCTGGTGATTCTGATGCCTTGGCGAACCTGAGACCCTTGCATTACTCTCGACCCATCGTGTGATGGCAGAGTAGGACGGGGTCCTTACACTTGAGGGCCACATGGACTAGGGATGACAGGGGTGGAGAGAAAAGTTACAATGCAAATATGGTTTAGTGATCTGAAATCTGAGAAGTGAAGTGGGCACAGACAAGAGCTTTATGAACTACAATGCTGTATGGGCAACAGAACAGAGGTGCATCCCAGCAAACCCGGTCATCAGTGGCGTGATCCGAGACCATATACTTGGGCTCCCTGAGCCTCCGTCTGCCCGTCCTAACTACGTGTCTCTGTTTTCCGAATATGAAATTTGAAACTCAGAACATTCTGAACCGTTGCCCACAGTCACACTGCTAGCACCTGGCTGAATGGAAATTCACACCCAGGTTCTTCTGTATCCAGAGCCCAGGTTCTCAAACACTGGGTGTAGCTGGTTCACGCAGGGCCCCCACGTGTCTCTCTAGCTGTCACTCTTGTCTCCCCCTTTACCTAGAACCCTAGCTTCTAGCCACACCAACATGCTTGCCATTCTTGGCTAC